GTATGGCCTTCAAGCTAAGAAGAGCTTTTTTACATTTTTTAAATGGTTCAAAGAAAATCAAAGAGTAATATTTTATGACACATGAAAATTATGTGAAATTCCCACATTGGTGACCATCAGTGAAATTTTATTGGAATGCAGCCATGCTGGTCACTTATGGATATATTTACTCTTTCATGTAGAATCGAGTGGTTGTGACAGAGACCAGATGGTTGCAGGGCCTCGTATTTACAAGCCGGCCCTCTCTCAACAACACTCGCAGAGCACTGGCCCTCCACCCTGCCTACTGGGTGCCTGTAAGTGAGGTCTGCTGACTTTTCCTGGACTCCCCAGGGTGTCTTTCCTCTCCCCGAGAAGCCCAAGAAACACCTCTGGGGCCAGTTTCGTCCCATCCCAGGGAACCACCATGGAAATACCTCCTCTCTGCTGGGCTTTGTGCCTTCCTCATCCAGCCTTCTGGAAAGCAAGTCCACCCCAGCCACTTAGCCAAACTGCAGGAAGATCAGTGTGGCTTCACCACCCCACCCTACTGCGGTATGGTGCCTTCACACTTTCCACAGCTGCTCTCTCAGTTCATCAGGACGGATACCACAAAAAACCTGGGAGGGATCAGGGTCTCTGGCTGACGGGTGGGGAAACTGAGGCCCGGACCCCAAGGCACCCAAGTTGACATTCACGTCTCCGTCTTGCCTCCAAGCCAGTCTGCCAGCCATGCTTTCTGGAAGCCAGCTATGCATGCCGTGTAGTCATCCTACCGCCCCCAGGATGCAGAGAGATGGACAGCAAACCCCACCCCCAGGATGCAGAGAGACGGACAGCAGACCGCCCTTCTGCAGCTGGCAGTGCCATCTGCCACTCGCTCTGAAGCAGGTGGCCAGCTACCGCCGTCCAGATGCCCATGTGTCCAGAGCCTCTAGCCTCCTACACAGGCTGATGGGTAAAGGCTGTTGCCATGTCCCTGAATGGTTGCCTTTTGGAAACCCCTTTTCTGTCCATCTCTAGCCCTAACCCTCGAGCCAGCTTCCCCAGTCATGTGCAAATGCTCACAGCCCCACAGCTGGTCACCTGACTCCAAAGAACTAGCCCTTTGTGCCTGTCACCCATCAGGGAACCACCGTGTCACCCAGGGGCTCAGACCCAAGTTCCTGGTCCCAGGCAGCCTGCTCCAGCTCCCAGCTTCCTCTGGAAACTTCTCCCATCTTCCCCTGCTTATTCTCCACCCGAACGTGCATGCTGCAAGAGCAAAGGCCATATGAAGCATCACTCCACTGGCTTTATCTAGCATAGCGGAGGGCAAAATGCAGGGCGGATCTGGGTAACCAGGGTGGGGAGGGCATCCTTTTTCGGGGCATTTCAACTCAAGATGGAGAGGCTAGTGGCCTATGAGGCCTTTGGAGGGAGCTGCCTGGTATTTAATTATCCCAACTGTAATGAGGCATTAAAACCTGCATCACTAGCACCTGGCATCAGAATGCCAGTTGCAGGCTAAAGAGTCTTTATCAAAGAAGCCATTTATTTGAAAAACATCCCTCTGCCCTTCCCCAGGGTCAATGTGTCTCCTGTGGCCAGCTTCTGTGGGAGATGTGGTCCAGGAAGACTGCCCTGAGGAGGTGATGGGAGAGGTGGTAACCAGACAACATATGGTGCAATGGGAAGACACCATCAAGGAGGACTTCTATTGGCTCCTCTTCTCTATGTCCCTTCATTTATACACTGCCAACAGCCAAACACACACTTCATTCTACCTCCCCTCTGTGCCAAGCACTTTATACGAATACTCTTGCTGCAGCCGGCGATCCTTATGAGGATAGGGTAGGAATCTTTATGTCCATCTTACAGATGAGGAAGTTGAGGCACCGAGAGATTAGGGTCTCATACACCTAGTAAAGGCACAACTGGGATTCAAAATCCAGTGGCTGGAAAAAAACCCTTTTTTGGCGGGGAGCTGATGGGGTAGAGCACACTGTACCCTCAATGCATCTCCCTCTTTCTTGGTGGCTGTTAGTGGGCAGGGTACAGATCCCTCCTTTCTGTGGGAAAATGCGTTGCCATTCCAGTTGCTTCCTCCAGGAGGTGGAGCGAGGTGGTCAAGTCACAAAGATCAGGAACGTCCTCAGAGACCGTGAACCCGCTCCTGGGCTTCTAGACCCTTCCTTTTCCTTGAGTGGTGCTAGAATGAAAGGGCCGGGGTGGGCGAGAGGGGGTGCGAGGAACAGGAGCCATTTGCACAAGCTGACATTCAAATTCCATTTCCTTTCCTCTGGGTTTTTCAGACTTCCCACCACGAAGAACTGTTTCTCTAATTATAGCCAACTTCCGGCACCGAATCGGCTGAAGTCCGGGTGATGCGGAATTGGGCAAAATGACAAACCCGTGCATACATCTGTGTGCGCGCATATGCGTATGTATTTACACACATAGTACATTTCTCTCCCCTCCCGCCTCCATTTCCTCATTTAGCAGGAAATAAAAGGACCTCAGGGCTGAAGCGCCAATCCCTCCTAAGCAGAGGGAAACCCGGGTATCATGGTATCCAGAAAGGGAATACAATCTCCGTATGGGGTGTAATTACATCTTAGCTTTCTGCAGAAGAATAGTTTATGGCTTAAATGCTATTAATTGTAAGCCGTTTTGTTCACGGGAAGTTGTTCATTGATAACTACCCAATTAGGGTTATTTTGCAATTAGTCTATTCACAGTAAATTTATTGCAAAAGGGGAGGCTGTGGCGCAGCAAATTAATGCGTTGCCGGGCTGGGTGTGCAATGGCTCTTAAATGCCAATCTTATTAACCAGCTCAGAGGTCCCGGGAGGCTGTGCCGTGGCGGCTGCCACAGCGGAGTCCGCAGAGAAACCCCGCAAACTCCCATGGCACAGCCAGGCTGGTGGCTGTCAGCCCGGCCAGGCAGGGGTAGGAGCCCCAGCCTCCACGGGCAGCACCAGCTCTGGCCTCCCCACCACAGCCCTTCCTCCTCCTGCAGTGACACAGAGGACAGAGGAACACAGCCTCGGGCTGCAGGACATTCCTGAGGTCTCACAGTTTGAGCTAAACCAAGACCTTCTGCTTCCTGAGGGAAAGACTCTGCAACCTGAGCTCCAACACCAGCTCTGCTAGCCACGCACCTCTCACCAAGTCCTCAGCCTCTTTCAGTCGCAGTGTCCTCATCCATACAGTGGGTTGATTGAGGACCTGCTGCCCAGGGCTGTTGTGAGGATTCAATGGCATCAGGCACGGAGTGAGTGGTATATACCACTACGCGGGATTAGTAACTCGCAGGGGCAGGCAGACTATGGCCTACAGGCTGCACCCTGCCCACTGCTGCTTCTGTGCCCTGAGTGTTACTGGGTCACAAGTAAGTGTGCCACATGTGCCTTGCCCACGGCTCCTTTGGCACCACAATTGCAGAGTCGGGTAGTTGGGACGGAGATCGAATGGCCGGCAAAGCCTCAACTCTTTCCTCCCTGGCCCATGGCAGAAACAGTGTGCTGGGCCCTGGTAGGGAGAGCATCCAATGTTATTTTCATGGAAGGGCATTCAACTCGGGCCTCCGACACTCCTCTGCCAAGTCATGTGCCGGTTAACAGAAGATTCTGGAAACTTCTTCCACTCATTCGTTCCTACGGCCCTATCAGCCAAGTCCCGCCAAGAATATAAATGCAGACCACATGTACAGCTCAGACTAGGGCTGAAATGCCAGGGAGAAATGACCCTGTTCTTTTCAAATCTTTCCATTTAACAGAGAGTAGAGTCCAGGTACCCATTCACAACTGAAAATGCAAAGAGTACAGATGAAACACGGAAGAGGAAGCCAAAGTGGTCTGTGTACTGTGCAAAGGGGAGCCAACAGGTGAGGGGGTGGCGGTGTATCCCTTCACGGCTCTTACACACATGGCCACTCTCTATCTGACCCAAATTCCGAAAAATCTAAAAAAAACAAAAACAAAAAAATCCCTAGGCTCCTGACGACAGTGCTAATGTCGGAGGGGCAGTGGGTGAGACGGGCTGCCGTGAGCTGACAGAATGCAAAGCACCTCGTGCAGTGTCTGGAGCGTGGCGAGCACTCGGGAACTGCCTGCCCTGTGCAGGTGCTGGAGGAAGTGAGACATACCCACAAGTGCATGAGACCAGGTCAAGGGCATGTCAGGTGGAGAGATTCAATGAGAAAGACCTCACAGCTCCCTAGCCTCCCTCCCGCTGTGTTTATGACCACCTGTGTTTAGAGCCTCCCCCACTTTCTCCAAAACCTCCAATTTGTCGCCGGCCATTCGCACATCGAAGAATCCCCAGAACAGGGCAGGAAGTTGGGAGTGACAGACGGGGGGATGGAGGGAGGAAGGAAGGAATTTTAGCTGGAGGAAAATGAGAAGGTTGTTTTTGCAGAGCCTCCAAAGTCAATGTAACCAATTAGAAACCTTTCAAATCACATTCAATTACAATAATATTCCTGTCAATTTTAATCCCAATAGTCTGCTGAGAGAGAAGACGCACCCTATCAATGCGATCACTGCGGATTGCACGCCAGCCCTGATTTTGTTTATTTCATCCGTTGCCATAATGACAACCGGTTAAAGCTAGAACCAAAGGTAACTTGATTTTTGCAAAGCTTTTCTTATACAACCCTTCAGATTTCAGACAGTCCCAGAAAAAGGAAAAAACCTTGAGTGTTGACTGGGGGTTTGAAAAATAGGGCGGTCCCGGGGTGCCTGGGGGGCTCAATCAGCTAAGCGTCCGGCTTCGGCTCAGGTCATGATCTTACGGTCCTTGGGTTCGAGCCCCGCGTCGGGCTCTGCTGGCAGCTCCGAGCGTGGAGCCTGCTTCAGATTCTGTGTCTCCCTCTCTCTGCCCCTCCCTCAATTGCATGTTGTCTCTCTCTCTCTCTCAAAAATATATAAATATTAAAAAATTTTAAGAAAAGCAGGGTGGGCCTTCTCAGAAGGCCTGAGAACGGGAGCAGAATGGGACTGTGCGGGAGGGTAATCGGGACCGGGGCTTGAGCTTACCTTCCAGGGGGCAGAACCGAGTCACCTTCTTGGGCATCAGCAGCCCCAGCTTGTGGCGGCAGTAGGTCTCGCCGATCTCCTGGCGGCAGTGCTTGGACTTGGCGCGGGACAGGGCGGAGATGGCCTCCTTGCCCGAGATATCACACTTGGGGGGCTGGTCATACTTGATCTCAGGGGAGCTGCCCCCACTTTTGCGGCCGTGGGGCTGTTTCGGGACATCCTTCCCGCGGCTGCCGTTGGCCGTGGCCTTCTCCTCAGGGGGCAGCACCTCACTGGTGCCCTTGCCCGCAAATGGATGCCCCTTCCCCTTCTCCTCCTCCAGCTTCCTTTTCAAGAGCTCCTTCTGTCTGCTCGGGGCCTTCTTTGCCAGCTCAGGCTGGTGCTTTTGCTTTTGAGTCCTGGGTGCAAAGTTGCTGTTGTCCACATTCTCAAAGTCTTTGGGGACCGAGTTCTCATTGTTGCTGTCTGTTCGCACCTTCTCTTTTGGCCGGTGAGAAAAGTAGCCATCCTGGAGGAGACGGGAGGAAACAAAGAAGAGAATCGTCAGCGAGCGGTCATGCCAAGCAGGTTGGCCCCTGGAGGGTGGGGGCGCGTAGGTCTGGAGGTCTGGGCCCCGGTTTTGCACCATACCTTTGCCACGGGCTTAACTCCAAGGTAGACTTTTCTCTCTGGACCTCAGTTTCCCCATCTGGAAATAGGAGGATGTTCCAACTAGGGACCAAGGCTTTGAAAACTCTAACGTGCTACGACCATAGTCCTCAATGCTTTGTGTTTTGGGGTTTTTTTTTTTTTTTTGGTCCTCAATGCTTTGTAACTAACCACACCTCCCTTTCAAATAAGTTTTCTTGATCGTTTCTGCTACTGGATCATGGACATTTTGTTCGAGCTTCCTATTCAACTCTAGCAGAGTGCACTGTGATGGTTTAGTTAAGGGCTGGAAATGTCATAATAAAGCTATAAGGTGAGAAAATATAGGTAGGATATTATATACAATCCACTGTCTTTGGACAGGCTCATAGGTCTATGCCCGCACAAGAGATGAGATGAAGCCAGAGTTAACTCTGAGGAGAGACACCCTGGCTGTTGTGGAGGGGAATGCACCTATTTCATTATGATCTTTACAACGAATCCCAGGGGGGAGGGGGCGGGCATGCAAACTTGTAACACTCTTGTGTTTGGGCTTTGACTCCTGATGTTTGCATCTGGAGCAGAACTGATCAAGTCACCCAGGCACTTGAAGAGAAAGGCCAAGAGTCATTCTGCAGATGACACGTGCTATGGGGGCTTTCCTGGAAAGACCCCAACTCAGCCTCTCCAAGCATGGGGGCGGACTCTGGACATTTTCAGCTCAGAGCAAATGTACCATTCAACTAATACCCTGCATCATTTCCAAAACACATTGCCTCTGCTTAGAGCCCATTACCAAGGCCATAACCTGAAAGAGTATCCACTGTTCCAAAGCTAGCCCCAGAGGGGACCTCTAAAGCCGCAGAGAATGCTAATTGGCTCCGTAAATCTACCCCTGTTGCTATAGAAACACAATGGCCATCAGGAGCAATTCTGAGGGAAGACCTCCCCTTCGCTTTTCCTAAATGTGCCTGTTAACAGTTCCCAGGGAAGAGGATGGTAGAAAGAAAAGGCAGAGGCAGGGCGGGGGGCTGGTGAGTGGCTGCCACCGTGGCTGGTGCGCCACACCGCTTCTACTCCATCAGGTCCGCCAACTGTGGCCCCCTGGGCCAAATCCTGGGTGCCGTTCGCCTCTGTAAATAAAGTTTTATTGAAAAACGGCCATCCCTGTTGGCTTACATATTGTCTATGACTGCTTTCCTGCTCCAACATCAGAAGTGATGCTTCCACACCTTCCTTCTGGCCCGCCTAAATATTTCTACCTGGCCCTTTAAGAAAAGTATGCAGACACTGGCTCTCCAGGAGTAGAGCTCGGGAGGTTCCTCTCCCCTCTCCCTGTGCCCAGCGTCCCCACGTGGCCCAGAATGGTCTGGAGAAGAAGTCATGCATGGCTGCCTCCTTGCCGCCTTTGCCCCATCTCCCCGGGATCAAGCACCGATTTCTCCAGGACGTTACTATTACTCTCATTGTGCAGGTGAGGGAACTGACCGTTCCTGAGCTTGCCCAAGGTAACCCAGCTGGTCCGTGGTGAAGCTGGGAGTGGGCTGCAGACTCCATGGCCTGTGTTACCAATTCCCTACCCACTTCCAGGAAGCTACAGACCCTGGACCCTGCGCACTCCGGCTCCTCCGGCACTGGAGCCTGGCTTCGGACCACGGGATCCCTTCCCAGCCCTCCAGCCCAGCTACATGGATTGGGAAGAGGTGTGTCACTTCCAAAGAGTCTTCTCAAGTCTGGCCAGGGGCCCATCATGGGGCAAGGAGTCACACAGAAAGAGGGACAGTAAGTAGGGCCACAAGGCTTCAGGAGCTCAAGGCAGCAGGGCCAGGAGCTAGTGGGGTAGGAGGGAGGAAGCAGCTACCAAGGGGGAGCGGAGTCTCCTGGGTCCAAGCACGGCTGCTGGGGACACACAGGCTGGGCTTCTATCTGGGTCTGTGCAGGAGAAAGTGCCAGTTCTGACCCCTGCTTCCTGTCTTTCTCACCTCCCCACACTTCCAAGAAATCACCCAGGGTGGGATGCCATGCCTCTGTTCTTGTAACTTAAACGGACCCCCCTGATATTTGCCTTTTCCCTTCTTTCTGTCCAGAGGCCCTTAAAGAATCCTGAGCAGCCTCTCAGACACATTCTTGAGTCCCTGTCACAAGCCAGGCACCACATGCTAAGTGGCCCACAGGTATCACTTCCTGGATGGACCCATCAGGGGGTACTGTCCTTGCCATTTTACAGAGAGAGAAGCCAAGGCCTGTCGCTCTAACATTCCTGAGCACAAACCACGTGCTGACACGGCATGTGTCATGCAACCTTCAAAAATAACTTCCGAGGCAGGTACTGCTCTTCTCCCATCTACAAATGATGGGGGAAAGCTTGAGGATGCTCGGTGACTTGCCCAAACTCATTGGGGGGGTGGGGGCGAGGGGCGTGTCAACTTGCACAGGTGTGATTCTACAACCTGCTGGAGCATCCTGTGCTTCTATTAGGCTGGGGGTAAAACGGGGAGCACTTAGTTCCCTTCTCTATGGGGTAGAGTGGGGAGAGGATGGGCTATTTCCCTCTTTGTCCATCTTAGCACAGACTGAAATGGAAATGGATGTTGGGTGCTTGGTTTTTCAATAAGGCTCTTGACAAATACTTCAGTTCTCTTTCTTCTCAGCACATGGTGGGGCCCTACTTCCCAAACCCTGCAAATCAGGCTCAGCCAAGCAACTCACTGTGGCCAAGACAAGCAATGGGAACCAGGGCACAATTTGCCACATCCCCCTTCCCTCCACAGCATCCCACCACGTCTCTGGTGGTGAAGGTCCTGCATCCCTGAGTGAGGAGAGTGTGCAGCAGGGACCAACTCTCATGACTCTTACACTTCCCCTCACTGACGTGTGGGGGATCTTTGTTACTGCAGCAGAGTAACTCATCCTGACTGACACAGGAGCCAACCTGGGCTGCTTTCTTCCTCTTAGCCATCCTCAGATACAGGAGCCAATTTTGGAGTGTTTGCTTTTACCTCTGACAGAAAATCAGTTCAAGGACTACTGGTGTCTGCAAACATGCATTTAAACTCTGACCCCAAGCTCGTTTTCTAGGCATTAACAAGAAGGCAAGAGTAAGTGGAAGAGTCTCTGTCTTGCGCCGTCTGCATCCTCTCTCACCCGACACAGCCCAAGTGTTATTCTGGGGTTGCCCACTTTCAATACTAATGGAGGATCCCAAGTCTGAGCAGAAAACCTCTGTAAACCACCGATTTCCAAAGCTCGCGTTCTCTATCACTTTCTGGGAGAACTTCTCCAGGCAAAACCAGACACAGGAAACACTGCAATCAATGAAGCTAATCTGACCATCAGAGAATGGCTGATTCCTCCAGTTAATTTGTGCTGTCAGGGCCAGGTGCCACCATCGATTCTAATATAACTCCTGATTAATGCGTCATCTACTCAGAGAGGCCCCGCAATGGGGATGGTCAGCTCAGGGTGCCCTGTGGCCTTCCGCCTGGCCCCAGACGCTCCATGGCTGCCAAAGGAAATCAAAAGATTCAAGTGTAAGAACAAAGGGAAAGATCTGTAATGAAGGGTTCGCAGATACTAGATAGCTTCCAGAAAAGTCAGTGAGGGGCACAGTCAGTGAGGACCAGGCATCATTCAGAGGTCTGAGATCTGGCTCACAGACTCAACTCTGCTTTCTACAGCAGGTGGCAAATTGTCCCTCAGCTTGTTCCCACTCTGTTCTTTAAACATTTTATTGTGGTAAGAATACTTAACATGGGATCTACTCTCTGAACACATTTTTAAGTGCATGATGCTACATTGCTACCTATAGGTGTGATGTTGTACAGAACATATCTAGAACATATTCCTCCTGCATAACTGAGACTTTATTCTGCTTGCATATCAATTCCCCATTCCTACCTCCCCCAGCTCCCGTCAACCACCATTTTATGGATTCTCTGATGGTGACTATTTTAGTGGGCTCATGCAAGTGGGCTCATGTAGTATTGGTATTTCTGTGACTAGCTTTATTTCCTCTTGCATTCTATCTTCCATGTCATTGCATACAGCAGGATTTCCTTCTCTCTCTCTCTTTTTTTTTTAAGCCTATTCATTTTGTGGGTAGGGGGAATGCATGAGCAGGGGTGGTGCAGAGAGAGAGGGAGAGAGAGAATCCTAAGCAGGCTTTGCATTGTCAGCGTAGATCCTGACACAGGGCTTGATCCCAGGAACCATGAGATCGTGACCTGAGCTGAAATCAAGAGTTGGATGCTTGGGGTGCCTGGATGACTCGGTTGGTTAAGTGTCCAGCTTCAGCTCAGGTCATGATCTCATGGTTCGTGAGTTCAAGCCCCACATTGGGCTCTGCACTGACAGCTCGGAGCCTGGAACCTGCTTCGGAATCTGTGTCTCCCTCTCTCTCTGTCCCTCCCTCGCTCATGCTCTGTCTCTCAAGGGTGAATAAACATTAAAAAAAAGAGTTGGATGCTTAACCAACTGAGCTACCCAGGTACCTGCAGGACTTCCTTCTTCCTTAAGGCCAAATAATATTCCACGTATGTATACACCACGCTTTCTTTACCCATCCCTCGATGGACATGAGGTATGGCCTCACCTTCCCAGTAACTCTGCACCTGCGCACCAAAGGTAAATATATCTCTTCTCTTCTTTCTCACCAGAATCAAGCCTCAGAAATCCAAATCCAGGTTCCCTTCCCTAGGAAAACCAGCCTCGGGAGGTTTCCAGGCAAATACAAGCAAGATAACCATTTTGTCCTCAGCACCCAGGTCGCCTCCTACTGTGGCCCTTCACACACCTGTGTCTTTAATCCTCTCAAACACCCAGGGAGGCAGGCAGGAGTTGTCCTAATTAGGAGGAGGAAATGAATGCAGAGGGAGGTTAAAT